AAAACCTTTAAATATTAGTACTATTACCTTAAAAGGTCCAGGTTTATAATCGAGGTTATTATAAACTATAATAATCTCTAATACTTTATAGAAATAAAGTATTTAGAAAACTATTAAATATATTAGGTAATATATCTTATAATATATAATTTTAATATTATTTATTATAGAAATACCTTAAACCTAATAAATAAACCTAGTAAAAGACCTAATTATAAAAAAGGTCCTATTAATATAGCTTGGCTTCTAATCTTTTAGAATAAGTTAAAGAAAGCTTTTATAATTATAATTTAGAAGTTCTTATAAATATCTAAAGAGTTCCCTCTTTAGAATAAGTATTATTTAATACTTATTATATCTATAATAGCTAAGAAAAAATATTTACTATAAAATAAGTAAATAAATTATTTTATAAATCCCTTAACTATAGAATTAGTTAAGAAATAAGATATAGGGAAATGCCTTAAAAGCTCTATTATTATAGCTAAGATAATAAGGGTATTTATAACCATATTATTTAATAGAACTAAAAACTTTTTAGTTTCTCGAGTTTTTGAATTAAATAATTATAAATACCTAATTCCCTATATATAGATATATATAGCTACTAAAAGAGCTATAATATTAGCTCCTCTATCTAAATCTCTTCTAGATATTATTTAGATAGCTTAGAAAAATAATTCTTAATATTAAAATATTATAAAATAAAGGTTTAGTAAAAAAGATACTAAGAAAAAAGAAGTCTGGAAAAATAATTTAGACCTATTTAGATATTATTTAAGAATTATTATATTTAATAATTCTACTTTATATTAAGAAATTATAAAGCTTTATTATAATAATCTAATAGCTAGATACTATAAAATAAAAAAGACTCTTAAGCTTTTTAAAAAGTCCTAGTATTAGAAAAATATAAAAGAAAATATTTATAATTATTATTAAGAATATAATATTTATTAGAGAATTAAGATAAAGAGGTATTTATTATATAATCTATTTAGTAGTTTATTATAGTCTAAAAGATTCTGGAATAAGATCTTTATAGATTTTATTATAGGTCTATTACTATATAAGAACCTAATAGAAGATCCCGATTTTAATATAATTCTTATAATTATTAACTAATACTCTAAAATAGTAAGATATATTATATACTATAAAACTATTAACTTTTTAGAGCTTACTAAGATTATATAAAAATATGTTTTCTTAATCTTTAGCTCTTCTAATAGAATTATTTCTAATCAAGAAACGGTATTTACTAGCTAGTTCTAATTTGCTTTTTACTTTTATTTAATATATAAATAGTATTTAAATATAGTTTATTATTCTTAGATAGATAATTAGATAAAAAGATAAAACCAGGCCCTAAAATATTATCTGAGATATTATTATAATACCTAAAAGAATAACTAGTTTAAGAAGTTATCTTTTATAAAATTTATATATAATAATTTAAAATATTAGATTATATAAAATATATCTTTTTATATATATTATAAATACTATTTTTAACTTCTATAGAATCCTAAGAACAGGATTATAGAAAAAATACTAGCTATATATAGGAGACTAGAAACCCTTAAAATAAAATAGAAAAAGCTTAAAAATTTATAGTATTATATATAAAATAACCGGAAAACCTATTATAATAAATACTAGTTAGCTAAATACTATTCTAAAGAAGCCTAGATAATATTATTAATAAGAAATATTAAACTTAAAATAGGAAAGCTTAAGCTAAAATTTATAAATCTATTTAGGATTCTTAAATATATTAGTAATTTAGTATATAAATTAGAACTATTAAATATATATAATTATTTATATCTAACTTTCTATATTTCTTTCTTTAAAAAATATATAATAAAAAAGAATTAGGAGCTATATTTATATTTTTCTGGAAAACTTCCGGAATTAGTAAATAATAATAAAGAATAAGAATAGGAAATAGAAGCTATTATTAATTACTAATAAAATAATAGAAATAAAAAGTAATAGTATTTAATTAAATAGAAAGTCTAGCCTAAAGATTATAATATCTAGTTACTTGCTTTTTCTAACTTTAAAAATTCTAAGAAACTTCTGAAATTATATAACTAAAACTATAATTTAGAATCTGAAACTACTTTTTAATAATTTCTTAAGATTAAAAAGAATTCTAAATTACTAAAAAAAAAACTATTTAAAAGAAAAAGAGAACCTGGATAGCTAAAAAAAGGTCCGGAATAATAATAGAAATATTTTTTTCCTAGGTTTTTTATTTATAAAGATTTTCTAGAGTTTTATTAAGGCTTATAAGAATTATATTTAAATTATTAGAAAAAGATTTAGAATTAAAAAAGGTTTATTATAAATAAATTAGCTATAGATATCTCAAATAAATAAACTTTAATTCCTATAAATTTCTAATTCCTAAAATAAGAATACCAAATACTAGTTCTATTTAGGATTTAGTAAAAAATTAGCTAATACTTTCCGGAATCTACTTATCTCTTAATAGAATATAGTTATATTATAATAATATTAGTATTAAGGATATTAAAAAAAATAAATAAGAAACTTATAATAACTATATATATTTTATAGAAAACCCGAATTTTTAAAGTTAGGTTCCAAATAACTATAAATATTATATTATTAATACTTAAAATACTAGTAATAAACTACTTAGTAATCTTAATAATAAGTTTAGTAATAAGATTAATACTTTAAAAATAGATATTATAATATTTTTTTAAGGAATTAGTAAATACCTAAATATATTAAAAAAAACTTATTTTTGGGATATTAACTCAAATAGTATTATTATTTGCTTTATTAAGATAGGAAAAAGAATTCTAAAGCTTATTAGTATTCTTCTAGTTTTTAAAAACCTAATTAATAATATTATTCTTATTAGTATAATATTATTTAGGATATATTTTAAGAAATTTCTTAAAGATTATAATAATATCTTCCTAGAACTAATAAGCCTCTAATAAGTAATAAGAAATCTGAAATTGTATTAGTTTTAATAGATATTAAAGCTAAAGAACTTACTAATATATAAGACTTAGAACTCTTATTATAATAGTTATAATTCTTCTTATTAGATATTATAATATATAAAATAAAAGAATTAATAAGTAAATACTTAAAACATTTCAAGTATCTACTAGTAATAGGAAAAGAGGCTATAAGATTATTTTTATATTTATTATTATAGGAATGGATAATAAAGCTAGAAAAAGATATTATAGAATTAATTAAAAATAATTAAAGAAAACTTAGAGAAGAGTAAAAGAAGAAATTAGAAGATAAAAATAGAAAAAGTTATATATATAGTTATTAGAAAAAAAGAGAGTATATAATAATATAAAGAGATTCTTTTATAGAAATAGAGAATTACCTAAATTAACTACTAGTTTTTATACTAGTCCTAATTAGAAACTAGTATAACTAATTAATATATATTTCTAGAAGCCTATAAATAATCTCTAGGACCTTAGAAATATTTGTATAGATTTCTTATATAAATATTTATTAAATACTTTCTATATAGCTATTTAGATTATTCTAATATAATATTTAATAGGTAATATTAATTTTATAAAATAATACTTTAGTATTTTGGATTAAGCTAATTAGAATACTCAGATCCTAAACAAAATTACAATTACTGGCTAGCTCCTATATCTGGGATATAATTACTCTTCCTTCTTACTTATTTAGCCCTAATCTAATTAGACGATTTTTATATCTATTATCTAAATTATATTAGTAAAACTACCTCCTAAAATACTAAAAGTTTATATTAATTAAATAAATAATTAATTAAATATTTACTAGAATAAATTAATAGATCTTAGAAATAAGATCCTAGAAAGGAAATATAGTTATAATATATATAGGATTATATATAATTTAAGGATATATAATAAACCTCGGATATTACAGGTATTAATTAGGGAGTTCGGTAGTCCTTTAATATCCCAACTAATTACTATTTATATTATATATATTAGGCTTATAAATTACTAATTATATATATACTATTAGGGCCTCCTATTTAGAAGGGGCTTTCCTAAACTTTATAAGAGAGATAGAGATTAGTTCTATACTAAATTTAATACTATAATTTTATAATATACTAATTTATTCTATTATCTTATTACCTACTAATAAATACCTTATAATAGTTAAGGTTATAAAAATTAAAATAGTTAAAAAGGTTTTTCTCGATTTTTAATAATATTTCAAACTAATATAAGCAAATATTTATTTTTGGCTTAGTTTTAAAATTTTACTTTTTTTTTATAATTTATCTAAATAATAAAATATAATTTAATATAATAAAAAAAGTTATTTTATTTAAATTTTTAGAAAAGAAAATAAATATTAATATAATAGAATAAAAAAAATATATTAGAATTTAGATAAAATCCGAGAAATATTTAGGTTTTTTCTTCTTTTTTTAATTATAAAAGCCTTATTATTAAGATTTATTATTAATTTTTTTTAAATATATTGAATTTATTTATTTAGCTAAATAAAAAAATCTTATTTTACTAGAGTTTTATTTATAGAATTTATATAATTCAAATATTAAATTCTTAAAATTTAATATAAAATATTATTTAATATTTATATTCTATTTTTTCTATTTAATTTTATAATAAAGCTTATTATAAAATATTCTAAAAAAAGAATTTTTTAGATTTTTTATTTAAATTTATTATTAATTTAGTAAAATAATAAATTAATAGAATTCTTATAAAATCTATTTATATAAAAAATTAGTCAAATTCCATATAATAAAAAAGATCTAATTAATATAAATAGCTTATTATTTTATTAATTTTAAATAATTTAATAAAATAATAATTTAATTTATTAAATAAATAATTCGTTTTCCATTTTTTTTAATTATATAAATTATATTTTTTAGACTAAAATCTAATTTTTACTATTTTTTATTAGCTTATTTAGTTTAATATTTCTGAACTACTATTATATATTGTTACGATAAGGTAATATTACAGTAGTGGTAAAGAGCTTGAATTGAGCTAAAGGCTGTGTGCCGGGCTAAAAGCACTGGCTACACGCTAAGTCACGTGCAATGGCACCACGTGACTGGTGCCACGTAACAAGTCCCCCCCTTCAGACTTCAAAAGACGACGTCCTCGTCGCAATATAGCCATTCTAGGCTACCCAAACGAGAAGTCCACTAGTATGGAGTGTGCTTCCCGCCCCCAAGAGCTTACATCTTACTCCCAAGGGCCCTGCGAGAAGCAGGCCATAGTAACGTATATCCCAGAATATGCCCCCTACTTGTATATTGCCTCCCTCTCTACCACACTTCTTGTTCGCGCCGTATCCAGTCTTAATAACCTCCCAATTGCAACCACCATGTATGCCATGTGCCCTAATAGGAGGGACACTAGCCAAGTAAAGACTTGGGGAAGTGAGGAGTCGGACGGCTCTGCCGGCGGGGGTGTGAAGCGTGGCAGGAAGCTCTTTCTGCAGGGGCGAGGGGAACATCGCTTTATTGCTGTGGTAATCCGTATCGTGAGGTCGATCTCGATCGTAATTATTGTATTGCTACCATATGTCACGATAAGGTGATATTGCAGTGGTGGTAAAGAGCTTGAATTGAGCTGAAGGCTGTGTGCCGGGCTAAAAGCACTGGCTACACGCTAAGTCACGTGTAGTGGCACCACGTGACTGGTACCACGTAACATATATTTTCGGATATAATTAATAGTAATATTAATTTTCTTAATTTATTATTATATATTTTTTTAATTAAATTTCTTTTTTAATATTTTAAATTCTATTATTAGTAATATTTAGTTAAAGTTTAGTCTAAATTTATATTTATAATTAATTATTAAAGAAAATAAGCCAATTAATTTATATAAGTAAGTAGTATTTATAATATTAAATATTAGAAATAATTAATAAAAATATAAAATCGAATATTAATAATCTAATTAATAATTTCTATTTATTTATTTATTTAGATATATTTTATAATTAAAAGCTTTAACTTAATTTTAGTTAATTTTAATAATTTATTTATAAAATTCGAAATAAATTAGGGTTTTTAATTATTTATAATAATAAGAAAAAAACCTCGAAATTATTAGATATAATAATAAAATAGGCTAATAATAATTCTAGTTATAATATTTTTAATTATTAATAGATTTATTATTAGTTTATTAATAATATATAATATTATTATATAGATATAAAATATTATTTATATAAGATTAATAAAGTTATTATTATTATTTAAAAATAGAAATTATAATATTATAATACTAATATATAATTCCTAAATCTATTAAGCCTAAAGAAATCTAGTCTACTAATTGAATTACTTATAGAATATAAGATTATATAATTATTATCTATATTTTATTACTTTTAGATTATATAACTATATTATATAACTATTAATAACTATAGCTATATTAATACTAGAACCTTTTTAAAAAATATAAAAAATAATATTTCTTTTTAATTATATATAAATTCCCTAATTCGGTCTAATATTAGATATTTCAAATACTTTATATATTTATATTACTTTTAAGGTTTTAGTTATATACTAAAGGCTATAGCTTTTTATATATAACTTTTCTTTCTATAATATTAGTTTATTTTATATATCTATTTCTTATTTTATTTATATTTAATTTATTTCTTTATATCTAATTATATTATATTTATATTAATTAGATATTTAAAAGTATTTATTAGCTTTAATTTTATTATAGAATTAACAAGATTTGATTTTCCTTTAATCTATTTAATTTCTATAATTTCTTATTATTTATATATTTAATAGAAATATATTATATTAATTATTAGATATTTCTTTTAAATAGTTCTTAATTTAATAAGGCATTTATATAATAACTTCGAATCTATATAAACTATTAGTAATAGTTCTATTTCTAGTATTTTATTAATTATCGATTTAACTAAAGTATCTATATTAAAGCTATAAATTATACTATAGAGTTCCGAAACTAGAATACTTCTAGTAATTCTTTTATATTTAATAGAAAACTAGTAAATAATATTAGTATATTTAGTTCTATTTACTAGAACTAGAATATATCTGATTTAAAAAAAGAAATCTTTATTATTTATAAATAAAGTATCTATAAAAACAATTAAATATAAGAACTTTTTTACTAGCTTTATAAATCTCAATTCTCTAGTAATATTCTTAATTTACTATTTAATATATTTATTAAATGCCTTTATATTAGTTTTCGAGAATTTAATAGTTTAAGTAGTAATTAATAGATTATATAAAGCTTCTAGTTAATAGACTAATATAATATATATTTCTCTAATATATTAGGTAATATATTAATTCTTAATAAAAAGATCTTAATAAATAGTACCTCTATTATTTATAATAATAGTATTTTTTATAAAAATAATTTGGAAGTTTTTATATTAGTATTTCTATATAAAAGTAATTCTAGTAGTATTTATATAAATAATATCTCTATTAAACTTGAGATTATAATTAGAAATAAGGCATTTATATTCTTTAGTTAAGAATTTAGCCTTTTAAAGTTTTAATTATTCTATTTTTATAAAATTATTAGTTTTAATAAATGAAATATTATTAGTTTAAAGGCTAATAATTCCGAAGAATTATTTATTATAAAAAAGATAAGAGTTATAAATTAACTATTCTATAAAAAGCTTATTAATATAATAGAAATAGTAAATTTTAAACTAATAGTTTCCGGTTTCTAATATATTATATAATAGTTTTATAATTTTCAGAATAGAATTATTCTTTAGATTTAGCTTTTTAATAAGCTTGTAAAATGAATTAATATAAAAATTATAATTAAATAAAATTATTAATTAAATATAAATTTATAAGATATTATATAAATATAATTTTATAGTATCTATTATTATAATAATAATACTAAGAATAATTTTCTAGCTAATATATTAAATAATGGGCAATTATATTAATATTATATATTTATTATTATTATTATAAATTTGAATAACTAGTTTCGATTTTTTAAATTCTTTTTTTAAATTCTTATTTTTAATTTTATTAATAAACCGGAAATTTTTTTTTTTAATATCTGAGATCTGAAAATAATTTTAAATATACTCTTTTCTAAAAAGCTAGTAATTTCAATTTAATAGAAATCCTTATATAGCTTATTATTCTATAGAAATACTATAATATCCGGGTTTTTATAAGGGTATTTTCTATTATATTTTAGTAAAATAGTAGAAATAATAAAAGAAATTATATCTGTATTATCTTTAATCTTATTATAGAATTCGGAAATAGTTTTAAATTCGAAATAATTAGTAATAACCTTAATATCCTTTATATAAAAGGGCTTTATAAAAGTTAAATAGAAAGTAGTATTATTATATAATAGAGCTAATATATAGTTTTTTTATTAATAGCTATTAGCTTATATAATCTATTTCAATTATTAGATTAACTAGTATTTCTTTTATATTATATAAAAATATTCGAATTTAAAGGAAGTTTATAGATATTAGTAATATTAGAACTATTTCGGATATTTAAGGTATTTATAATTTAATATTTAGTTTAAAGCTTCTAAATTTCTATTTTTTTTTAAATACTGCCAATTACTATAATATAATTAGTAATAGAATATTATATTTAATTATTCGAAATAAAATACTATAAATTAAAAGAATTAAAATAATATTATTGCGTTTTATAGAATTATTAATAGCCTTAAAAACTATTTGAAATATAATATTTTTATTAATTTTATTAATTTCGGCTATAATAATAAAATAAATATATTAAATCGGGCTATAATAGTATTTTATAATTCTAATAGAATAATAAGCTTTTATAAAAACGATTTTAATTTTGGGTTTTATAGTATTTATAAATTAAATAAACTTTTTATTAATAAATTACTTTCTAGTATCTATTATAATTTAATTAAAAGAGCCTAAATAATATAATATAGTAAGTTATACTTTATTAAAATCGCTTTATTTTAATAGTTTTAATATTTTGGTTATATAGTAAAAGCTAGGGCTTTTTATATATAACTTATAGAAATTATATAAAAAAGTTAGTTTTTTTTATAATTTTAGATAATAATTCATTATTAATATTTATTTAATTAAGCTTTTATATATTATATATTATTTATATTTTATTATTTATACTTTTAATTTTATTATTTTATTATTAAGTTATATTTTATATTTTAATATACTTTATATAGATTTTTATTTTATTATAGTTTATTTTTTATATATTTTATAATTAAAATAATATTTTTATAAAGTTCTAAGAGGTTTCTATAAGGCGGATTATTAGTTTAGTAAATTTAAAAAAAAGACTATTATAATACTTTAAACCTAAGGCCGAAATATTAAAGATATATAAGTATTAATCTTAGTATCTTATATTAATTTCCGATATATTTAGTAATTTAAATACGAGTTAGCTATAAAATATAGTTATTAGTATAATATATAGGAATAATAGAAATAGAGGCTAATTATAAAAGGAAAAGAAATAGAGGAAATAGAATAAAAAATATTAAACTAAAATAGTATAAATTAGAACTTAATTAGAAATAGACTTTAGTATTCGGAAATAAAATTATATTATTAATTTATATATTATTTTTAGTTATAATAAAAATCGAAATAGAGGTAATATTAATTTTAATAAAAAAGCTTATTTCTAAATTCGAGAAAAATATTTAAAAGAAGAAATATCCTTAATTTCAAATAGAATAGTAAATAGAAACCGGAAATAAGAATTAAAAAGAAATCGGAAATAAGAAATTATATAGATAATCTAAAGAAGCTTCTAGAGAAAAAAAAGAATATTAAATAGAAATAAAAAAGAAAAATTAGAAAAATCAGAAAAATTAGTAAAATTATATTTATTATATTTATTATTATTTTTAATAGTATTATTAAATATATCTAGTTTAATAAAATTAAGAAAAGATATTATAGGTATTAAGCTAATAAAATAAAAAAATATATAAATAATAGAAATAAAACTAGTAAAGCTATTATCTTATTATTATTAATACTAAAACTCGAACCTAGACTATATTTATTATTATTAACTAGTTTCTCTTAAATTCCGGTTCTTAAATTAAAAGATATATTTAAATAAGAAATTAGCTTTTTAGAAACTTTATTAATAAAAGTCTCAGATATAGAAATTCTATAATTAGCTATAGAAGAAATTATTGAAATTAATATAACTAAAAACAAATATATATTAGTATCGGATTTAAACCTATTACTTATAAAAGCTCCTGAAATATTATAGTTTTAAAAAAGTAATATCTTTATATTTTTGAAATAATATATAAATATATATAAGAATTATTATATTTCTAATAATACTAAAAAAGAGAGAATTATCTATTATATTTCTTTTATTTATAAAAACCAAATTAAGGCTATATCGGAATACTATATTAATAATTCAGAAAATTACTAGAAAATCAAGTTCTTTAAGGCTTTATTAAAGAAATTC